ATCTGCAAAGGTTTCCATGGCTGAGAGAGAGAAATTCTCTGTTTTGAGGTGGTTTTGTTCCATAGCCTTCTTCTGTAAATGATAAGTCGGCTTCATCTGCCTGTCCTTAACCAGACAGCCTGGGCTCCATCAGGGTGACCAGATGTCATCACCGCAAAGGAGGACAGGGCACTGCAAAATGTAGGACCTTTAACAGAAAAATGAAAGACATTGCCAAATAAAAGCTAAAAACACTAATATAAACGCAAATTCATGCTTTTTAGCCATCCTCAAAATACAGGACATTTTGAAATTCCTCCCAGACAGAAAGCTGAACTGAAGGACATGTCCTAGAAAAAGAGGACCTCTGGTCACCATGGGCTCCATTGCTCCAAAGCAGAGTGATCAGAAGTCCTAATAATAACTCCAAATGAGACCATGGCACCTGTAAAATGTAGGACCTGTAAAAATTAAAAACACCTAATATAAATATTAAAACCATGCGTCTTAGCCCTGCTCAAAATGGGAGGTCATTTTGAAATTTCCTCCTGGATAGGCAACATAAGAAAGTATGGATAAAGTCAGAATTACAAGTTGTAGATAAAGAAGTAACAACTGTTGGGTTAATGTTGAATGAATGAATTTGTCAGAATTTGTATTAGGGTTAAAGAAATTGCTAGAAATGTATACGATTGTAAGAACATATTTTCAATAAGTTTTATACTATATGTATGATATGGCTTTTTAAAAAATGTTTTGTTTTATGGTTTATGTAATGTGTTGCATTCTTATTATCAAGGATATGAAAACTACTTTTAATAAAAATTATCTGGGGGGGGAAACAAATTTCTTCTGGACAGAAGGTTGAAATGTAGGACATGTCTTGGAAAAGAAGGATGTCTGGTCATGTATGATATGGCTTTTTAAAATGCTTTTTGTTCTATGGTTTATGTAGTGTTGTATTCTTATTGTCAAGGGCATGAAAACTACTTTTAATAAAAATTATCTGGGGAGAACAAATTTCTTCCTAGAAAGAAGGTTGAAATGTAGGATATGTCTTGGAAAAGGAGGATGTCTGGTCATGTATTATAAGGCTTTTTAAAACGTTTTCTGTTCTATGATTTAGGGGTAGTGACGTATTCTTATTATCAAGGACATGGAAACTACTTTTAATAAAAATTATTGGGGGGGGAAGGAAAAAAATTCTTACTGGGCAGAAGGTTGAAATGTAGGACATCTCTTGGAAAAGGAGGATGTCTGGTCACTGTTTGGAGGGGTGGAGCATCCTGAGGCTGAGAGAGTGTGACTTGCCCAAGGTCACCCAGTGGGTTTCCATGGCTGAGAGGAACCAAATCCTTGTTCTGAGGTGGGTGTGGATTAAAAAAAAATATTTTTATTAGTTTATTATTATTTTTTTATTAATATTTATATTAAGTGTTTATAACTTTTACTTTTGCCATGCCCTGCCTTTTACAGGTGCCTTGTTCTCATTTGCAGTTATTATTAGGACATCTGTTGGCTCTGCTTTGGAGCAATGGAGCCCATGGTGATCAGAGGTTTTCTTTTTCTAGGACATGTCCTACATCTCAGCCTTCTGTCCAGTCCCTTTGGCAGTAAATACTGGCTCGGTTTCCTCTCTGAGGAAGAGGAGGAGGAGGAGGAGGAGGAAGAGGACGGGCTCCGGGGAGAAGGGGGTGGAGCGCCGCCCGGGAAACCGGCGGCACCACCAACAGCCACCAGCAGAGCAGCCCTTTGAGCGCTCATGGAAATAGTGGTGGAGCAGCGACAGCGGCGGGAGCAGCGAAGGCGCCCCGGGGAACTCTTCTGCCTGCACGAGCCGGAGCGCGTGAGTCCGCCTCGCGCCCATTGGAACGTGGAGGGCGGGGTGGGGGGGGTCTGCGCGCGCTCTCAACGGCTCTCAACGGTTCTCCAAAATGGAGGGAGGGAGGGAGGAGGGGGGGGATGTCTGTGTGAGCATGCGCCGTAGTACCACCCGGCCGATCCTCTTCTCCGCCCTTTCCCTCCCATCATTTCACAGCTTCTTTTTCATTTCTTCTTCACCTTTACTGTACTTTGTTTGCAAGTTTTTGCAAGGACTTTTTGGAGGGGAAGTGAGAGGGCAAGGGGCGTGAAGGATAAAGGCAGATCCAGTGACCGTTTTGTTATGTTGTTGTTATCATTATCATCATCATCATCATACGAGCCAGTTGTGGTGGTGTGGTTTGAGCATCGGACTATGACTCTGGAGATTAGGGTTCAAGTCCAGATTCAGCCATGTAAAACCACTTAGGTGACCTTGGGCAAGTCACACTTTCTCAGCCTTTGAGGATGACCATGGCAAACTGAAGAAACTTGCCAAGAAAATCCCATGATATGTGACCTTGGGCAAGTCACACTCTCTCTGCCTCAGAGGATGGCAATGGCAGACCCTTTCTGAAGAAACTTGCCAAGAAAACCCATAATAGGTGACCTTGAGCAAGTCACACTCTCTCAGCTTCAGGATGGCAATGCCAAACCTTTTTTGAAGAAACTTCCCAAGAAAACCCCATGATAGGGTTGCCACTAGTCAGAAGAGAGGTGAAGGCACACAACAATATATTATTATTATTACTAGAGAGCCCACCAAGCAACTGGGAGGGGAGTGAGGGCAAAAGGAAGGAAAGTGACAGAATTCAGATATTTATTTATTTTTGGAATATCACTCTTCAAAGGGAACTTGGAGCATAGGTTTTTTGTGG